CAGTAAGGTAGCTCAGGCTTGTTCTGATGATACCAGAGCAGGGTTCCCAGAGACATACAGAGAGATTAAAAAAGTGCAAGTCTTCTTGAGGCCTGGACTCAGATTTAAGAGATGAGGAAATAGCTTCTTAAGAGCCGTAAAGTCATATTACAAAGTGTGTGGATACAAGTAGGGGAGAAGAATTGAAGACGTTTTTGTAATCAACAACACTCACCCCCCCTCCACTTTTAAGAGTGTTTTAAATCAATTAATATTATTTTGCCACTAATGGTTTAGGAAATATACTTTTTATTTTTTTAAGTTGTTATAATTTTTTAACTCTAACAGAAGCCATAGAAGTTAACCATGCTTTATGGATCAGAATATTAGTAGGGATTGTATCCTCATTATAACAAACAACACAATGGCCATCACTATCACCATTATTAGGAATTTTCATTTATTTTTCTGTGCTGATGATACACTATCTCAGCAACTACTACATGCCATTATAGAGATGAGTGAGCAAGGCTGGGTAAACTGCCCATGGCCACCTAGGAAGATGGCTTTGAGCGTGGGTTATATTGACTCGATTCCCCATGATCTTACTCGCTACACATCACTTTCTCTTGCCGGCTGGTCAGCTGGCATCTGTAGCTTTGCATTTACTTGGGAGGCCAGGTAGAATTGACAAAGGCCTAAAACTTCTCTTCCACTTATTAAGGCAGAAGATTAAATTAAGGAAGTAAGTTGTTTCTAGATTTGCCATCATGGAGCTATTTTTAAAACATCAGAGGGATCTATGAGGTCAATATGTAATACTGAAAACATATATATATATATACACTAGAAGCTTTTGTTTTGAAATAGCCTTTACTTTCCTATTGCTGAGTTGGAAGTAGTCCTATGAGCTATGCATGCTTGTCCATGTTTTTGCTTCTATCTCAAAACCATTGTGTTCTTCCTGCTTAGCCTAGTCATACTGGGGAAGCTGAGGCAGTCAGGAAGGGTCAATTGTGTCATATGACACTAAGACATCTATTGTCCTTTGACTGGAGATGGCAGGGATGGTTTTCTTCCTTCTAAGGATGAAGATTTAATAGGAAGATTTAATCCAATTTACTCAGATGCATGAAAATTGACTCCTTTTTGGATGTGAGTTAATATCATGAACATAAGCAATCAGACATCAGCTATATGTGAATGGGGCTCAAAAATATGTTAGTATATTTTGTTCTTGTCTTAGTGTCAGCTTCATCTTGAGTTCTAATTGCTTTTATCTTTGAGGTCTGGTGTGAGGCATTCAACTCACACTTTCAGGAAAATAAATGGGAATATAATTTTGTTGCCATTTTACTGTTACAAAACAGAATTACTAAATAGTGTGCCCTTTCTGCATTCTGACAATGAAATTGACTGACTTTCTCTGTTTCATCTGAAAGCTATTTTGGGAATTTTGTCATCACCTAATGAAATCTTGCTTGCAGGGGATCACATTTTATCTTTTAGTGACATCCACAAAACAGCCTCTGAACATATAAGTCTTAGGAAAATTGAAGCTAAACCTGCAGGAGATAAGGTCAGATGTAGAATTAACCATTATCCATATTATGGAAAGTGATGGTGTCATCAGTGTTTCTTATGTCTCTCTCTTTTTTTTTTTTTTTTTTTTTTTTTG